AAAAAGACCCTGTCTCTAAATAAAGTATGAAAAAGGGCTGGGGATGTGGCTCAAGTGGTAGTGCACTTGCCTGACATGCGTGAAGCACTGGGTGTGATCCTCAGCATCACATAAAAATAAAGATTATTGTGTCCACCTAAAGCTAAAAAAAAGACCCTGTCTCTAAATAAAGTATGAAAAAGGGCTGGGGATGTGGCTCAAGTGGTAGTGCACTTGCCTGACATGCGTGAAGCACTGGGTGTGATCCTCAGCATCACATAAAAATAAAGATTATTGTGTCCACCTAAAGCTAAAAAAAAGACCCTGTCTCTAAATAAAGTATGAAAAAGGGCTGGGGATGTGGCTCAAGTGGTAGTGCACTTGCCTGACATGCGTGAAGCACTGGGTGTGATCCTCAGCATCACATAAAAATAAAGATTATTGTGTCCACCTAAAGCTAAAAAAAAGACCCTGTCTCTAAATAAAGTATGAAAAAGGGCTGGGGATGTGGCTCAAGTGGTAGTGCACTTGCCTGACATGCGTGAAGCACTGGGTGTGATCCTCAGCATCACATAAAAATAAAGATTATTGTGTCCACCTAAAGCTAAAAAAAAGACCCTGTCTCTAAATAAAGTATGAAAAAGGGCTGGGGATGTGGCTCAAGTGGTAGTGCACTTGCCTGACATGCGTGAAGCACTGGGTGTGATCCTCAGCATCACATAAAAATAAAGATTATTGTGTCCACCTAAAGCTAAAAAAAAGACCCTGTCTCTAAATAAAGTATGAAAAAGGGCTGGGGATGTGGCTCAAGTGGTAGTGCACTTGCCTGACATGCGTGAAGCACTGGGTGTGATCCTCAGCATCACATAAAAATAAAGATTATTGTGTCCACCTAAAGCTAAAAAAAAGACCCTGTCTCTAAATAAAGTATGAAAAAGGGCTGGGGATGTGGCTCAAGTGGTAGTGCACTTGCCTGACATGCGTGAAGCACTGGGTGTGATCCTCAGCATCACATAAAAATAAAGATTATTGTGTCCACCTAAAGCTAAAAAAAAGACCCTGTCTCTAAATAAAGTATGAAAAAGGGCTGGGGATGTGGCTCAAGTGGTAGTGCACTTGCCTGACATGCGTGAAGCACTGGGTGTGATCCTCAGCATCACATAAAAATAAAGATTATTGTGTCCACCTAAAGCTAAAAAAAAGACCCTGTCTCTAAATAAAGTATGAAAAAGGGCTGGGGATGTGGCTCAAGTGGTAGTGCACTTGCCTGACATGCGTGAAGCACTGGGTGTGATCCTCAGCATCACATAAAAATAAAGATTATTGTGTCCACCTAAAGCTAAAAAAAAGACCCTGTCTCTAAATAAAGTATGAAAAAGGGCTGGGGATGTGGCTCAAGTGGTAGTGCACTTGCCTGACATGCGTGAAGCACTGGGTGTGATCCTCAGCATCACATAAAAATAAAGATTATTGTGTCCACCTAAAGCTAAAAAAAAGACCCTGTCTCTAAATAAAGTATGAAAAAGGGCTGGGGATGTGGCTCAAGTGGTAGTGCACTTGCCTGACATGCGTGAAGCACTGGGTGTGATCCTCAGCATCACATAAAAATAAAGATTATTGTGTCCACCTAAAGCTAAAAAAAAGACCCTGTCTCTAAATAAAGTATGAAAAAGGGCTGGGGATGTGGCTCAAGTGGTAGTGCACTTGCCTGACATGCGTGAAGCACTGGGTGTGATCCTCAGCATCACATAAAAATAAAGATTATTGTGTCCACCTAAAGCTAAAAAAAAGACCCTGTCTCTAAATAAAGTATGAAAAAGGGCTGGGGATGTGGCTCAAGTGGTAGTGCACTTGCCTGACATGCGTGAAGCACTGGGTGTGATCCTCAGCATCACATAAAAATAAAGATTATTGTGTCCACCTAAAGCTAAAAAAAAGACCCTGTCTCTAAATAAAGTATGAAAAAGGGCTGGGGATGTGGCTCAAGTGGTAGTGCACTTGCCTGACATGCGTGAAGCACTGGGTGTGATCCTCAGCATCACATAAAAATAAAGATTATTGTGTCCACCTAAAGCTAAAAAAAAGACCCTGTCTCTAAATAAAGTATGAAAAAGGGCTGGGGATGTGGCTCAAGTGGTAGTGCACTTGCCTGACATGCGTGAAGCACTGGGTGTGATCCTCAGCATCACATAAAAATAAAGATTATTGTGTCCACCTAAAGCTAAAAAAAAGACCCTGTCTCTAAATAAAGTATGAAAAAGGGCTGGGGATGTGGCTCAAGTGGTAGTGCACTTGCCTGACATGCGTGAAGCACTGGGTGTGATCCTCAGCATCACATAAAAATAAAGATTATTGTGTCCACCTAAAGCTAAAAAAAAGACCCTGTCTCTAAATAAAGTATGAAAAAGGGCTGGGGATGTGGCTCAAGTGGTAGTGCACTTGCCTGACATGCGTGAAGCACTGGGTGTGATCCTCAGCATCACATAAAAATAAAGATTATTGTGTCCACCTAAAGCTAAAAAAAAGACCCTGTCTCTAAATAAAGTATGAAAAAGGGCTGGGGATGTGGCTCAAGTGGTAGTGCACTTGCCTGACATGCGTGAAGCACTGGGTGTGATCCTCAGCATCACATAAAAATAAAGATTATTGTGTCCACCTAAAGCTAAAAAAAAGACCCTGTCTCTAAATAAAGTATGAAAAAGGGCTGGGGATGTGGCTCAAGTGGTAGTGCACTTGCCTGACATGCGTGAAGCACTGGGTGTGATCCTCAGCATCACATAAAAATAAAGATTATTGTGTCCACCTAAAGCTAAAAAAAAGACCCTGTCTCTAAATAAAGTATGAAAAAGGGCTGGGGATGTGGCTCAAGTGGTAGTGCACTTGCCTGACATGCGTGAAGCACTGGGTGTGATCCTCAGCATCACATAAAAATAAAGATTATTGTGTCCACCTAAAGCTAAAAAAAAGACCCTGTCTCTAAATAAAGTATGAAAAAGGGCTGGGGATGTGGCTCAAGTGGTAGTGCACTTGCCTGACATGCGTGAAGCACTGGGTGTGATCCTCAGCATCACATAAAAATAAAGATTATTGTGTCCACCTAAAGCTAAAAAAAAGACCCTGTCTCTAAATAAAGTATGAAAAAGGGCTGGGGATGTGGCTCAAGTGGTAGTGCACTTGCCTGACATGCGTGAAGCACTGGGTGTGATCCTCAGCATCACATAAAAATAAAGATTATTGTGTCCACCTAAAGCTAAAAAAAAGACCCTGTCTCTAAATAAAGTATGAAAAAGGGCTGGGGATGTGGCTCAAGTGGTAGTGCACTTGCCTGACATGCGTGAAGCACTGGGTGTGATCCTCAGCATCACATAAAAATAAAGATTATTGTGTCCACCTAAAGCTAAAAAAAAGACCCTGTCTCTAAATAAAGTATGAAAAAGGGCTGGGGATGTGGCTCAAGTGGTAGTGCACTTGCCTGACATGCGTGAAGCACTGGGTGTGATCCTCAGCATCACATAAAAATAAAGATTATTGTGTCCACCTAAAGCTAAAAAAAAGACCCTGTCTCTAAATAAAGTATGAAAAAGGGCTGGGGATGTGGCTCAAGTGGTAGTGCACTTGCCTGACATGCGTGAAGCACTGGGTGTGATCCTCAGCATCACATAAAAATAAAGATTATTGTGTCCACCTAAAGCTAAAAAAAAGACCCTGTCTCTAAATAAAGTATGAAAAAGGGCTGGGGATGTGGCTCAAGTGGTAGTGCACTTGCCTGACATGCGTGAAGCACTGGGTGTGATCCTCAGCATCACATAAAAATAAAGATTATTGTGTCCACCTAAAGCTAAAAAAAAGACCCTGTCTCTAAATAAAGTATGAAAAAGGGCTGGGGATGTGGCTCAAGTGGTAGTGCACTTGCCTGACATGCGTGAAGCACTGGGTGTGATCCTCAGCATCACATAAAAATAAAGATTATTGTGTCCACCTAAAGCTAAAAAAAAGACCCTGTCTCTAAATAAAGTATGAAAAAGGGCTGGGGATGTGGCTCAAGTGGTAGTGCACTTGCCTGACATGCGTGAAGCACTGGGTGTGATCCTCAGCATCACATAAAAATAAAGATTATTGTGTCCACCTAAAGCTAAAAAAAAGACCCTGTCTCTAAATAAAAAATAAAAATGGGCTGGAGGATTTGCAGGTAAATGGATGGCGTTGGAGAAGATAATGCTAAGTGAAGTCAGCCAATCCCCCCCAAAAAACAAATGCGGAATGTTTTCTCTGATATAAGGGGAGTGACTCATAGTGGGGTAGGGAGGGAGAGCATGAGGGGATTAGATTAATTCTAGATAGGGAAGAGGGGTGGGAGGGAAAGGGAGGAGGCAGGGGATTAGCAAGGATGGTGGAATGTGATGGACATCATTATCCAAAGAACATGTATGAAGACTCGAATTGGGTGTAAACATGATTTATATAGAGAGATATACAAAATTGTGGTATATATGTGTAATAAGAATTGTAATGCGAAAAAAACCATACATGTATAATGACCTAAATTGACGTGTAATACGGATTGTAAGGCACTCCACTGTCGTGTATTAAAAAAAATAATAAAATCATTTCAAAAAATGGGCTGGGGGCTGGGGTTGTGGCTCAGTGGTAGAGCGCTTGCCTAACACATGTGGGGCCCTGGGTTCGATCCTCAGCACCCCATAAAAATAAAGAAATAAAATGAAAGTGTCATGTCCAACTACAACTAAAAAAAAAAAAAAAATACTAAAAAAATGGGGTTGTCGCTTTAGAAGCCTAAGGGGTTGATGTGAGACAGAACTGGTTTTAAGGCTTGGGGCTTTGTGAACAGAAAGGCGGAGGTAGGAGGCGAAGGAAGAGGCTATAGGGCTGGGAAAGAACTGAAACACCACAGAGACAGGAACTGAGGGGCGCCCAGTAGGTTGCCCAAGGCTACAGTAGGTGGGGGCAGCTCCGCTGACTAGGCCGCTGAGGCCCTGGCCATCGACTTCCGGAAATTCCAGAAGCGGTTTCCGCCACAGCGAAGTGGTGGCATTTCTCAACGAAGAGGTGCTCAGTAATGGTGGTAGCCCAGACTTCTACCTGACCTTCCGTTCACGGCCCTGGAACGAGGTGGAAGACAAACTGCAGTCCGTCGTGGCCGACCCTCAGGTGCCGCGCGCCATTAAGAGGGCGTGCGCCTGGAGTGCCCTGGCCCTTGGGGTGCGAGTGGCCGCGAGGCAGCGGGAGCAGCAGGCGCGACGGGTCAGGCGGCTGAGGGGGCAGGTGGAGGAGTGTGAAGGAGCCGCCTGGGCTCTGGCCTCCGAACTGCAGCGGCTGCGTGACGACGTGGTTTCTCAGTTGCAGATGACCTGAAGCAAGCTTTGGGGGGGCGCGACGCCCTGCGTGAAAGGCTGATCCAGTTGGAGCTGT